TCTAATCTGTGAAGTTTTCACAAAATAAACAGTAGAATATTGTCTATATCTTATTTACTCTAGTAATGTATTGTAAATAGATGTTGTATTCAATTAAAAGTTTTCTTAGTTTTTCTAACAAACAATTTATTTACTAAAAACTTGGATGACAGAGGATTTAGTATGTATTTTGAGTAACTTATGTTTGATGTATGAAATCTGTTTCCGTGACATAACTTCTGTTTTAGTTAATAATTGAACATTTTTTATGCTAAATTAATAATTATTATTATTATCTCTCAACTATATCATGAGAGATTATCAGACTTTTGAAAAAGTAAAATTATATTTTAATTTTAAGTTATATAAAAATTAAATTTCCAAATACGATATAACATCTAATTTGAACAAAATGTATATTAAGACAAGAAGTGATGACATGGGCAGTGGTGGCCCAAAGTCGGAGTCTCTCTCCGGGAATATAGAGTCACTCGATTGGAACAAATTAATGGTTGAAATACGAAAACTTTGTTTCAAATATGACAGCAAAGGCTTTATAGACAAACTCAATATGTCTGTACCTAAGAGTGCAATGTATGTCAATATTCTTGAGTTAAAGAATTTGTTAATAATTTGTTTTTATCTCAGATATGGTTTACTGGGTCCGAGTGGCTGTGGAAAGACTACTTTATTGAGACTTATTTTAGGTAAAAGGTCTTCATACAAAAAATATAATCAAACTTTTAATTATAATTTAATTAAAGGCCTAATAAAACCGAAATCTGGTACTATTAAAATCAATGGTAAACCACCGGGTAGTTCTGCCAATAATATCCCGGGTATTGGCGTTGGATTTATGCCTCAAGTAATACAAAATGTAGTAAATGTTGACAAAAATAAATACTAATTTGTGTGTGAATTGGAGGAATTGGCTCTCTTTCAAGAGATCACACTAAACGAAGCGCTCAAATACTTCAGCCGATTGTATGGTATGAGCGATGAGTTGACGCTTTCGAGGATTAGGTTTTTGGTAGACTTTTTGGATCTGCCGGATGCGGACAGACTTATTGGTACCATGAGGTATGTGTCCGTGTAATCAGTGTTTAAATGAAATTACTAATTATTTATGAAATAATTTCAGTGGTGGACAAAAGCGACGGGTTTCCTTATCGCTATCTCTTGTAAAATAATTTTTAATTTAAAAATATTATTTTTTTTATAACTTTGTGTTAACCTTCAGGTACACAATCCACCACTTCTTATATTAGATGAGCCCACTGTTGGTACTGATCCGGTGTTGAGAGAGAGGTTTGTCCAGTAGAAAAGTTATCAACAAATTAATTACATGTTTTATTTGATAATTGTTGATAGGATTTGGGAGCATTTGGTGGTGTTATCTCGAAAGGAGTCGACAACTATTATAATAACCACTCATTATATAGAAGAGGCCCGAAGAGCACACGTGGTAATACACATCGAGATGTGTTTTATTCAATATTTTTAACGATTGAATTGAATTTGAATTGAATTAAGATATCACTGATGAGAGAGGGAAGACTACTGGTTGAACATTCGCCACAATATCTATTGAATCATTTTTGTGTCCAAAATCTGGAGGAAGTGTTTCTGAAAATGTGTGACAGAAATA